TATATATATATATATATATATATGTATATGTATATGTATAAATAGGAAGATTTGCATGAATATCACTAATTTCTTATGTATTTATTCATCTATCACAAACTTTGATTTTACACTTCTATCATTTTATCTATGTATATGTTTAATGTAAAATGAAAATTTTAGATGATATAAATATAAAAAATAAATATTAGATATTACATATATATAAATACATAATTGACAATTTGCATCTGGAATACGTACGTTTGACGCACATTGTCATCCTAATCCCTAATTTCTTTTTATTTAGAGTTTTAAACAAGTAGTTCATATGTACCTCTCAGTTCACTTTACTTCATTTAAATGTTATTTTGGAGTTGCTGCAGCTAACTGAGAGTTTAGGTGATCAGGCCCATGTCTTGCTGTCTTGTCTCTAAACATATTATATGCTAATATTATACAAGAAATATAAAGTTGGAGCATACATACATACATATATATATATATGAGCCGCGTTCACAGGTCAGTCGGCAGGGCAACTGTTTCGGTCGTGTAAGTCCCCTCTGGTCTAGGATTCCAATCCTGCCTTTGGTGACTGCTGCCTAAAAGGAGGGGATCCTCAAATGAGTTGGCTCATGGGTTCCTAGCTTGCGCTACTTAGCGATGCTGGCAAAGCCCAAAGGGATTGGTTCACAGTTTCGCCCGTCAACCACACACACATTTTACTTAATTTTTATGCATTTACATATCCAACGTCAAAATTTTGCATTCTACATTTACAAAACCAAAGACTTTCCCGTGACAACCAAAATATTACTATTTTTAGCATTTAAAAATTATGTACTTCTTTCATATAGGTTATAGAAGATGAGGTGTTCCCTGACGGAACAGTGCTGAAGAAAGGAACGAAGCTGATCTACGCCATCTACAGCATGGGAAGAATGGAGAGTATATGGGGCAAGGACTGCAGAGAATACAAACCAGAGCGGTGGCTCAAAGACGGCCGCTACGTGAGCGAGTCGGCCTACAAGTTCTCGGCCTTCAACGGTGGCCCTCGCCTCTGCCTCGGCAAAGACTTCGCCTACTACCAGATGAAGTTCGTCGCCGCCAACGTGTTACGTCGATACCACATCAGCGTCGTCGAAGGGCATCCGGTGGCGCCGAAGATGGCGCTGACGATGTACATGAAGTATGGGTTGAAGGTGACACTGAGAAGGAGAGAAGGGTGGTGAGGGGTTGGATGTGCAAAAGGGGTGAAGAAGTAGGAGGTGTGATGGATACAATTACAAATGTTTGGTGTTTGATGGGAGAAAGTTTAAGGTGTGAATTCTGATTTTTTTTTGGGGGGGGGTTTTATGATTTTTATTTCTTATAAATTTATGTTTTAGTTACCGGCTGAGATTTCGATTATTATATTGGCTGGGTATGTATGTAAGATATTGTGTTGTGGAATATAATTATATATGTTGTTAGGGGTGTGTGTTAAATTTATTATATTATAGTAAAGCAACATGTTGGATAAAGTCTCTCTTTCTTTCTCTTCTCTCTCTTCTGTCTTCTGTTTGGGGTAGCTACAACTTATTGAATAATCTGTCAATAAACTGCTGCCAGAAAACTGTCATCGCACCAAGATAGGTGCGGTGTGAAAACGCTGTTTTCAACGTTTTGAAAATGCATAAGCTGTCAAAATATAGTTTACCCAAACAAGTTCAAAATGTCACCGTACCAAATAAGCTGCCCCAAACGGTATAAATAATCACATAGAAATGCCATTATATTCTTTTATAAGAGAATATACCACTGTGGGAAATTTAATTTCACTTGCATTTCATAACAACCAATCCATATGAATTTTATATATCCAACTCCTAAAATTTACTTTTTATATTTATAACATCCAAAGCCTTCACACCACATAAGAAAATATCACTATTTTAAGTTTTAAAATATGAAATACAACTAATTATATGTAAAAATTTAAATTTAGGTGATAGATAGATACGTAAATAACTAGAAATTAGGTGGTATGTATGCAAATCTTTTTTGCTTTAATTTAACACTAATATAACTTCATTTTAGAGTTGCTTACTCTGCTAGAAAAACACAAAACATCCTTCAACAATTGAGCGTCTATAAACATATCATAACAAAACACGAACATTTAAAAGAACTTTGTTTTTCCGCATCGTAAAACGATGATTATTTCACAAGAATGAAATGTAAGAAGAACATCAAACTGTTCTCGTACAAAACTTGATCATAAATTTGCTGGAAAACTTAAAAAATGCATGCCCGGACACGTCCGGACAACTATTCAGAAGGGCTACCTTGTGATACATGGTGGCGTGACTGCATCCGAACTGTTGTCTGGACGTGCAGTCAGCCACACATAATAGTTGTCCCCAATATTAGCTGTTTGTTCTCTTCCACTGTCATAAACTCGTATCAGGGGAGGAAAGAAAGTGTTATTGCTCACAAGATAAATTATATAACAAATTAAAAGCATAATACTATAGATTCTCAAATAATGATTAATTTTGATCCCAAATCATAATATGGAAGCTCAGCTGAAATAATACCATGAAGAGATGAAGCCATGAATGCAGACATGTAACTGTTTGGATCACTTTTGAGTTTATTTTATTTATATTTAAATTTGAAATAGAACATATTTGATATGACATATAACAAGTTTAGTTATGATGTGTTATTAAGCATGAATCTCAATGTATTTTTTTTATAAAGGATATTCCAAATTCAAATTCAAGATTAATCGGGCCTCAATTTTGGCAAGTTAATAGTCATCTTGACCTCCTCAATAAGGCGAACTCAAAGATGTCAAAATTGGTTTATACAGATCTAATCAATTAAGCTCATACCAAGTCGTTGAAGCACAATTAGAGTTTTTTTTTTTAATCGTCAACGGAATGGTGTGAAAGGCAGAAGTCATTTGTAAATTCATTTCGAACATTGATTTTTCATTTTGGCAATGAAAATTAAATTTTTCATTGGATGATGAAATGAACACTCTTACATTACGTGAAGTATATCTCTCTTAAAATATGTTTAGAGATGTGAAAGTAATCTAGTTAAAAGTTGCGGATCTAAGAATGCTTAGGTTTATGATTAACTTTAGTTTGAGACAAAATACGAAACAAATGTATTTGTGAGAGAGTTGGCGTAGCTAAAGTGACTGGTAATATTAGAGGGAGATGTCTTAATAGATTTTAAACTACATATTTTACTTAAATCCATCCAAACATTAAAAAAACTAAATATTAATTTGAATTATTCATTAATTCAAAATTGATTATATTTTGTTTTTTTTTTTTCGAATCAATGTTGGACTGATTAATGATCTTCGACATACTTAACATCATTAAGATGTTAAACGATCAGATTTGGAGCCGAGCGGGGGTCTACTCGAAAAGAAATTAAATCCAAATTTTTGGCTCGCAACACAACACGTTTATTTCGATCCGAGCTTGATGTACGAGCCAAATTTTGAATCACTTTTCGAGTGATTTTCGTTGTCCGAGTTAAATTCACAGACCTACCAAACGTACAAAATAATTTCTACGTATCCCAAAAAGTTCCACGTATCGACTCCGAATTTAAGGGTTGTTTGGAAACAGGTTTAGATTAGGATTTAACCTAAAGTTAGGCTAAATCTTGATAGACGGTCGTTATTAGCAAAATAGAATCTCGGCTCAGTAAATATGGATTTCGTGGATTTGAGTATTTGACCTATAAAGCCCGAATATAGTATATCTCACAAACCGATGGATTTATGGCAAATAACTTGATCAACTGCCAAATACTTTTTTGAGGTTTAACCCATTTCAAATTTAATAAATCCATATATATAGGATTGATTAAATTTTAATAATTTTAATTTCTTTTATTGTGAGACAACACCTTAATGTTTTTAGATTTGACGTATGTTAAGAAAAATAGAGGTAGACTAAAAGGACTTGATGATGTTAACCTAAATAAGTAAAAGGCATGTGCATAAATAGTACATAATTATTATATCCTTACACATTTCATATCCAAACAAGTGGATTGAAGAGGAAGAATGGTGAAAGCAAGCTTACCTTCCTCATCGGTTTCAGGTAAGAGCAGGGTGAAATGATAAGAAAGATGAGAGTTTCAGTGGTCTTTGTCAGTCACGATCCCATCCTTGTTTTCTCGGCTAGCTTGAATGGTGACTATATCGAGAGGTAAATGGTTTTTAGGGCAAACTGAGAGAAATTTAGGATGAGTGAAGAGGAAGAATGTTGTGAAAAAGCCAGCCTAGTAAGAGTGCAACAGAAGGTCAAGAAAGACGAGAGTTTCGAGTGTCTTTGTAAGTCATGAAATCCATGTTGTCTTCCCAGCTAAGTCAAATCTTGATTGCAAGAATCGATCCAGCTGATGTCTTCCGAGCGAGGTCAGCGTCGATTGAAGGTGAGGGTTTTGGGAAAAATCAAGGAGGGAGGCGAATAGGGTTTCAAGCGCGTGCATGAGAGAAGAAAGGAGGAAATGAAGGCTTGCAACGTGAGCTTGTAGATTAACACCCTTTTCAATGGCTAAGTCATGGTTCTTTGCTATCATTTCAAAATCACATTAAAACTGACGTTTAAAGTCGTCGGTAAATATCACATACTCGTCAGTTTATCACCTTGGAAAAACAACCTCATTAAATACCGAAAGTTTTAATTCCGGGTTTAATCAACATTTTATACAGTTGGAAAGTCCAAATATGCGATCAGAAATAATTTTTAAGAAGAAGCAATAGCTTTAGAAGTAGTCATGCAACCTGAAATTAACTCACTAATATTCCATTGCTAAGTCATTGGAAAAGGACACGTTATTTTCAACCTCCAAAAGCCTTCAGTTATAACTGCTTTTCTACAGTGACATCCCTTGAAAATTGTGGACAAAGAATGGGAAGTCTTTAAAATGAGATCCTTTAAATTTTTTTATGAGACTACAATGGATAGTAATACATACTTGGGGGGGCTGACCCGACCCGCAATTACTTGTATTTTTAATCTTCAAAATATTGTCAAAAACTTCACCCAATTTATATTTAAAATAATCTTCAAAATATTGTCAAAAACTTCACCCAATTTATATTTAGTGGCTAGTTTGAATGAATGTGATGATATGAAAAATAAGTAATAATACTTCCCACCATACGTACTATGCAAGTATACGTTTTGTTTCAAGTAATATAAGATTTTCCTTAGAAACCCTAATATCGATCCCACGAGGATACTTTAATTATTTACAATGACTTGCTAAACTCAAATGTAAACTCTATCTAAATTGCATGTTTCAATAAAAATGATATGATAACAATAGTTAAGACTACATTAAAACAAATAAAAACAACTATATCTAACAACTTAATAAAATTAATTCTAACAAGTTTGAATAATATGTAAAGATCTTTCCCCTTGCAATGAGATATTAATCTACATAATATTTGAATGCGTAAAAATATAATGATGTATTGTGACAATAGGAACATTAATATTTTTTACCCCCTCCCGGTGCTAACAAAGAACATCAGCTAATTTAAAATTTTTAACTAGCTTGTGTAGTAGTGATGAATAGTTTCTAGCCTCTAACCTCCAGAATACCACCCAATGTGCCATCTCTATAGGACCTACTAGAGACCCTTACGGTCCAAACACTAAACCAAATTGAAAAAGAATTTAGTATGTCACCCTGGAAACATCAATTTTATGCCCTTCAAAACTTATCTCACTATTTATTTGCATTTCCCCTTAGGTGATCGCAACGACTTTGCCCAGAATAAAGTGTGACACTCACCAGTTTGGTGAAATCATAGCCCTTCCTGGTCTTTATGTTTCTCAATAGATTTTAACACCACAAGTGACCAATTTATAAAGTCAATGAAGAATCGGTGAAAATGTCATCACAACTTCTAAAAGTAAATAAAAATCTTTAAATCATTCTCTTCTCACGAGATTAATTCCCAAGATCAAGGAGAAAGAAATAGAAGTACTCAGAATTCATGGAGAATAAAATAAAAACACCAAATTTGTATTGAAATCCAAGTCTTTGAAACAAAAACTCAAACACAAATGCAAAGTACCTTGTGTCTCCTCCCCAACACAAATTATGGAGTCTCCTCGAAGAAATCTCCAAACTCTTACTTTACAACACAAAACACACTAAAACATACACTTAAACACAAAGGTGGGAATTCAAATGTGCCAAAAAGTCCTCAGTTTCGTTCAATTTTGGTCTATATTAATAGATCTCTAAAAATAACCAAAGATTATTTCAAAATTTGGTCAAATTCAATAGATCTTCTAGAAGGGTAGTTATTGGCGCTATAGCGCTAGTCTGGGAGCTATAGCACCCGTTGCCCATGTCTATGGCGCCATAGCACCAGGGGACGATGCTATGACGTCATACCATTTTGTAACACTTTTGTTAATTTTTCCTTCCTTTT